GATTTTTACAAAGCTCATCGGTCTGAAAAGCGAGGTGTGCTCTGATTGGCCAGCTATCCAGTGCGTTGTGATTGGCCGAATACCTCAAGCGTGTGACGGAAATGTTACGCCCCTTACCATACTGTGATGCCCTGTCCGGCTGGAGCGACGAAACAAAAACATTAAAACCCATTATAAACTACGCATTTGTTGCATCCAGTGGGGACATAATTACGGATTATAATGACTTATACTGTCCTCTTAGGAGGACAGTAAATTATAATGTCCTCTTTTGGAAGGCCAACAAAGTAGTTTCGCTTTCACGACAAAACACAGCGTCACACACGGCGGCCTAGAGAAAGGAAAAATTTAAATTGCATCATATGACCCCTTTAAAATTGTCATTATTTACTCACCCTCATGTCATTCCAAACCTATAGTATATGCTGTTATTTTTTTAATGGATATTGACAGCCATGTAAAAATTCTTTGTTTTATTCCACTAAATATCTCATATGGTTTTAGAATGATAAGAGGGGAAATAAACAATTAACGAATATTAATTTTTAGGTGTAATAACTAAGATCTCAAAAAAAAGGAAAGAAAAGTGTGTAAGAATGTGTGTGACAACTAGGGGTGGGCGATACAGCCTCAAAATTATATCATGATATTTCAAGAATATTTGCGATAAAGATATTTATGACGATATAGAAAAAAAACATGGAACAACATTTTATTGGTGATTGCAGCTGCCAGGCAGCAGCATTTATTAGTGCAAACAAAATGAAGGGCATTTTCCATCTTTTTCCAATGAGCAACTGTCATCGATGACAGACTACCTAATTTGAAGTGTAAATCTATTGTCTGCGCAGCGCTGCTTCAAGTCGAACACACCTATTGGGTTTGTGGTGTTGTTGTTGTGCGCGCTAGGGAAGGTATATCCGCCATACGTCATCGCGTTGCTATATCATTGATATCGCGATATGACACTTTTTTTATCATGTAAAAATATATACCGGTATTATCGTGGACGGGATGATATGGGCCACCCCTAGTGACAACTTTGCTCAATGCCACCCAAAGCATCAGCCAACATCAGCACACACACACATGCCCTTCACAAATGTGTCAGAACTCACTTCCTGCGGTCATGACCTCATGCTCTCTTTCCTCCTCATCATCTTCCTGCTCCTGATGACCCTCTTCTCTTTCTCTCTCTCTGTCTCTCTCCTCCAGCTCAGCCTCCTCGTCTATAGTTCGGGTGAAAGAGTGTTCCTGTGGGTCCATCTCCACAGAGTCCACATTATCAGAGATCTGCACTCAGAAAAAGAAATGGCATTACATATAATGGGATCCAACATAAAAATTCTAGGATTTTTCTAGGATCTTAAAGGAATAATTTACATAAAAACATAAAAAAAGTTTTTTTTTATTTTATTTGTAATTTCATTTTCTCCTATTTTTGAAGGTAAGAGTGTGCACTCGAATATGCTCTAGAACCACTCTCGAGATACTTTGATGTCATACACCGATTAGTCTGCGCAGCGCTGCTTCAAGTCGAACACACCTATTGGGTTTGTGGTGTTGTTGTTGTGCGCGCTAGGGAAGGTATATCCGCCATACGTCATCGCGTTGCTATATCATTGATATCGCGATATGACACTTTTTTTATCATGTAAAAATATATACCGGTATTATCGTGGACGGGATGATATGGCCCACCCCTAGTGACAACTTTGCTCAATGCCACCCAAAGCATCAGCCAACATCAGCACACACACACATGCCCTTCACAAATGTGTCAGAACTCACTTCCTGCGGTCATGACCTCATGCTCTCTTTCCTCCTCATCATCTTCCTGCTCCTGATGACCCTCTTCTCTTTCTCTCTCTCTGTCTCTCTCCTCCAGCTCAGCCTCCTCGTCTATAGTTCGGGTGAAAGAGTGTTCCTGTGGGTCCATCTCCACAGAGTCCACATTATCAGAGATCTGCACTCAGAAAAAGAAATGGCATTACATATAATGGGATCCAACATAAAAATTCTAGAATTTTTCTAGGATCTTAAAGGAATAATTTACATAAAAACATAAAAAAAGTTTTTTAATTTTTTTATTTGTAATTTCATTTTCATCAAAGATCCTACGTTTTCAATCAAACTGCTACATTGATAATATAATAAAAAAAATAAAAAAATAAAAAGAGTCATACTCTGCGTTCTCGTGATGACGAACGGGTCTGGATGAGCTCCATGTTCTTACAAGCCAAGAGGCGATTCCGCACCTTATACACACTGCGATACACCTCTGCCAAGAGTTTACATGGCTGGTATCTGTAGGAAGACAGAAAATAGGAAAGAAATTCTTTATTAGTGTCCACAGTGTAGTATTCTCTGAAGTTATGTAGAATATAATGTCATACCTCCCCTCTCCACACGCCTGTCCCAGCAGCCCTGTGTGTTTCAGCAGGACAGCAAGCACAAAGCGGGACACTGTGTCTAACAGAGCCTCATTCGGCAATGATGCACTGTCCCAATCTACACAAACACACACACAAAAGACTAAATTAACATGTCATCTAAGACATTTGTTTGCACAAATGAAAAGTGGATAATGCTAATGGCAAAAGTAGTTCTGCTTTTAACCAATAACTTCTTATAAAGTCCAATTACTGCAAAGTTAGGATAGTTTGTGCCATAAAGATCTGGTTTATGGCCAGCTGTAACATAACAGAATATGAATGTTAATTGCTTTTTTATTGAACTGTAACCTCAAAGCAATAATTATGGAAAAATACTCTGCCCCATCACAGGGATCGAAGCTTAATTATGACAGAACTTCTACATTCTGAAACTGCTTTCAGAAACACAAATGGATTTATTTAAAAGAAATGACAACTGACACAAAGTCCCAATCTTGATAACACCATATTGAGCAACTATAGACCAATATCAAATCTTCCTTTTATAGGCAAGATTATTGAAAAGGTAGTTCTTAAATCAGCTGAACAAATACTTAAACTCAAATTGATACCTGGACAATTTTCAATCTGGTTTCAGACCGCATCATAGCACAGAGACAGCGCTCATTAAGTTAATAAATGATATTCGCTTTAATTCTGATTCTGGCAAAATATCAGTGCTGGTACTACTAGATCTTAGTACTGCGTTTGACACTGTCGATCATAACATACTTTAGATAGAGAGACTGAAAAACTGGGTCGGGGTTTCTGGGATGGTACTCAAATGGTTCAGGTCATACTTAGAAGGGAGAGGTTACTATGCAAGTATAGGAGAGCATAAGTATAAGTGGACGTCCATGACATGCGGAGTCCCACAAGGCTCAATTCTTGCACCACTCTTGTTTAGCCTGTATATGCTCCCACTAAGTCAAATAATGAGAAAGAACCAAATCGCCTATCACAGCTATGCAGATGATACCCAGATTTACCTAGCCTTATCTCCAAATGACTACAGCCCCATTGAATCCCTCTGCCAATGCATTGATGAAATTAACAGTTGGATGTGCCTAAACTTTTTTCAGTTAAACAAGGAGAAAACTGAAGTTGCATTTGGAAACAAAGATGACGTTCTCAAGGTGAATGCATACCTTGACTCTAGGGGTCAAACAACTAAAAATCAAGTCAAGAATCTTGGTGTGATTCTGGAGACAGACCTTAGTGTCAGTAGTCATGTCAAAGCAGTAACTAAATCAGCATACTATCATTTCAAAAACATTGCAAGAATTACAGGGCTCCAAACAAAAAAATAGAGTAAGGAGCCATTGGCTCCTATAAGAAAAAAGTTTAGGCGCCAAATTATTTTTTTAGGTGCCACAGAATAAAGGTGTTTTATTAATTTTATTATTATTATTTATTATTTTCATACTTTCATGTGATTATGTCTCATCTTTTATTGAATTTATCAGCATTTTAATCGATCTTGTAGATGACCTGGGAACTAAGGTTCACTTAAAGTGGGAATTAAACGTCTTTTCCAACTTGAAATATATAGTCACAAAGAATTGTTCATGACACAGAATCTGTACCAATGTCATGGACAATAAGCCTTGACCACTCACTGAGGTGTAGTTTGGGCTCCTCCTCAGTGCATCCTATAAGTGTTGTCATATGTCTTTCACGTCTGTTTTTCTTCATTAGTTCATGACTCAGAATCTGTACCAATGTCATGGACAATAAGCATCACTTGACCACTGAGGTGTAGTTTGGGCTCCTCCTCAGTGCATCCTATAAGTGTTGTCATATGTCTTTCACGTCTGTTTTTCTTCATTAGTAAAATGCAATTTTCATGTATCATGATACATGAATCATGTATCTATCTATCTATCTATCTATCTATATCTATCTAAATCTATGCTGATTTAGTTACTCAAAGCAGTAACTAAATCAGCATACTATCATCTCAAAAGCATTGCAAGAATTAGATGTTTTGTTTCCAGTCAAGACTTGGAGAAACTTGTTCATGCCTTTATCACTAGCAGGGTGGACTATTGTAATGGTCTCCTCACCGGCCTTCCCAAGAAGACCATTACACCGCTGCAGCTCATCCAGAACGCTGCTGCCAGTATTCTGACAAATCAATGGCCTAGGACCTAAATACATAGCAGATATGTTCACTGAATATAAACCTAACAGACCACTCAGATCATTAGGATCGAGTTAGAAATACCAAGGGTTCACAAAAAACAAGGTGAGCCCGCTTTTAGCTATTATGCCGCCCGCAGTTGGAATCAGCTTCCAAAAGAGATCAGATGTGCTAAAACATTAGCCACATTTAAATCCAGACTCAAAACTCATCTGTTTAGCTGTGCATTTATTGAATGAGCACTGTGCTACGTCCGAACTGATTGCACTGTATTTTATATATAATCATTTCCTATTTTTAACTGTTTTAAATCAATTTTAAATCAATTTTTAAATAATTTTTAAAGTTTTTAAATTCCTTGTTTTATTGTTGTGATTATTTATGGTTATTTTACTTCCTTTTATGTAAAGCACTTTGAATTACCATTGTATATGAAATGTGCTATATAAAGAAACTTTAGAAGATTTTGAACCAGTGAGATTTCACTGTGGGTGGGGCTACCCAATACCACAGAAATAGAAACCATTATAAGGTTTGCATAGGTTAATGTGTGACTTCTGAGACTATACAAGCACTTCGCACTTAGGTAAAGCTAATCATCAGTGAATCAATTATATTCTTAATACTCTTTCCATATTCCTCAATATATGTTCTGTTTTTGTGTCCTACCCTTGCTGATGGCATAGTCCTGCATGTTTGTCCACAAGCTGTTTGTGGGCTCTTTAGTTGATCCAAGGGACAAATCAACCAGCACACTCATGTCAGCACGCAACTGACAGTCAAATGGTCTTTGCTCCTCATTTCCACACAGAGCCATCTCCAGCAGAGAGCTAATACACACATCTGAAACACATACACCATTTCAGCTTTAACTAACAAAAAAATTTTTTACTTCCATACATTTCATAACAAAATAGGACATTTATTTATAATGGGAATTACAGTGCATGTGCATACCAAGCTGGGGTATATCAGTCTGCAAGCCGTTACTAAAAAGCGGTGTTTTGAGCCAATGGGTAGTGTGCTGTTCCTCTGGTGAGGGCGGGGCTCCCTGCAGCATTCCTCCGAGACAACGTCCCACCAGCAGCGCTACAGTACGCTCCAGATCCACCAACCACACCCAGCACTGTGCCGGTCCTGACACACATACTGGATCAACCAGATCTGGAGTGCCTACAGGAAGAAGGGTAAGGAAAAATAGTCTTAAGAAGTTAAGTAACTGAATGTGAAAAGAGTGGTTCTTGAGTGTTGAGTGGCTCTCAAACAGGGGGGATGGGCAAATTCCCATGGGGCGCACACAAGATTGCTTAAAATGATTAAAGTTATTTATATATATATATATATATATAATATATATATATACACACATACACGTGTGAGTGTGTGTATTGTAATTTTAATAATATAAACTTAAATTAGCTATTTATCATATGAATGTGAAAATCTGACCATGTAGTGGCCACTGCAGCTCCTGTTCCTCCAGAGGTGTGGCGGCAGGCAGAAGTCTGTTGAGACGGTCCAGAGGGGGAAGCAGGTCTAAGAGGTAACTGAGCAATGGCCGTGCCACCCAAACAGGCAACAACAGCAAGGACGTCACAATCTGACACAGCATACTGCCCGCTGCAGACATGTAGATCACATCTGCCACAAACAAGCACAGGCAAAATTAGCAGGTCCATTGGCATTTAGATAATGAGTTTAGCTTAAATGCGAGTGTACACTGATATACCTCGTAGCTTCTCACGCACGCTGCCATTTCCAGAGCTTTCTCTCAGAAGAGTTGCGGAGCGATTATAGATATCTGTGGCATGAGGCAATAATAACTGCAGGTGTTTGTGGAAGAGGGCCACACTACTGGAGCCCTGAAAAACACAGATCAACATGTGGAAGGAAATCAGCCCACTCAGACCCAATAAACACATGATTTTTCCAAGAATTAAATTTGTGTGTGGATATGTATATGTATTTGGTTGTGCATGTACCTCTGTAACACAGCTGATATGGCAATAGGCCAGTAGCTGCTTCTGTAAAGAGCAGAGCAGTTCATGGAGGTGAGCTGGTTGGCTGCTATCAGACGAAGATGTTCCCTGCAAGATCTTATCACTGTTCTTCTCCAGTTCTCCAAAAGCTTGGTCCTGTTAGGTTAACACACATAAACACAGGAAAACAGGTTGAGAAGACATTCAGAAGTGTATATCAGATGTAGCATTCCTACTGTAAGTGTAATACACAGATACTAATGGTACCCATATCGAATTTATCATCTCAAAACAGTTTACATCTCGTTAGTGTGAAAGGGTTCTGAACACAACACAAGGGTTAAGACAGTGTTTACATTTTTACCTGTCCAAGACGCACTAGGCTGATAAGAGCTTTAGTGGAACCTCATGGAATATAACATACTTTGCATGCCCTTGCTCTCAAAAATATCATAAGGGATTGACATGCACCACAGCAAATTAAATAATAATTAACCCGAATATACACGGTATACATATACAATATATGTATGGAAAATAATGGCAAAAAACATTTATTTCTTTTGAGTTGTCTTTGTAGGTTGCATGCAGAAACAGACAAGCGTATTGACTCACAAAAAAAGGTTTCAAAAACAAGAGTCACTGGTATGAATCAATCTGATGAATTCTTTACTCTACGAACTGAATTTAATCCATGAAAGTGGTCACTGAATCAACATCTGAGTCACTTACTAAACTGCACATTATAATTACTTTTAATGATGACAGTCTCAAAGTGAAGCAAGCATTTTGCTGGCAACACGATCATTTAACATAAGCGTGTAAATCAAGATAAAGATAAAACAAAGCTGGCTGTCAGCGCAAACACGGCCTCAAGATCTTTATCAGCAGAACTGACCGTATAAAAGCCCAGGTTCCTGAGTAGAGTTTTCATGAGGATCTCTGCCAAGTGTGTGTCAGGATGTGTATCAGAATGAGTGCCAGGCACATGCGTCGAGTCGGAGGGTAGAGTGGGAGGTTCAGAGGAATCTGGAGGACAGCTGTACCCCAGCAGAGATGCCACATGGGTGTGATCCTGCAGACTAGTGAGGATTATGTCCAGCTGCATCCTCTGTGACAGAAAAAACACACATATGACTGACAGATGCTTTTGTAAGTTAACTTAAATGGTCTATTCTTTACAAGCAGGCACAAACTTGTACCTGTCCTTTAGAGAGGCTCTCCCAGCGGTCTGGTCCTTGAGGAAGGAGCGAGTGCAGTAGCTCCATTCTCTCTCTCAGAGGAGGCAGCAGCATCGTCGCTCCCACGGACAGAGTCTCAATGACAGCCTACAAAATGCAAACATTGATCAGAGAAAAATACAGGCCACAGTAAACCATCACAGCAACAAATATGTGGAAAAACACAAGCAAACACAGACCTCCTGGATTTCATCCGGTACTGACGCATCCATCAGTCTGAAAAGTAGATTGCGAAGTGGCCGCGCTTGCCGTCCCAAGATGCTGGTGGCCAAGCCACCCGCCAGCGCTAGAGCCAGGTGATTGGACAAGAGCCGTAGACATAGTTTCAAGAAGTTATGATGCTCCCTGTTGGCCCCAAAACAAATTTATTCCCTCCATGGTGCAAGAATACACACACTTAATATTTAATTCCTTTAGGATGTGTTAGAAAATCAATAGAAACTTGATCTCAAATAAACAACATTAGCAGCAGCTTTAATTCTCCAGTGATATTTAATGCATTTAAAAAACAAGGCAGGCTTCACTCGTCTATAGACCTTAGTCAGGTTAGACAACATATTGAATTTTACACAGATGAAAATGAGGCTGTAAAGGAGATATTTACTGCAATTGCAATGGCACAGACTGTATAAAGATCCTAGATCAAGTGAATTTCACAGCTCTCAACTTTCAAAACTGTTTTATAGAGTTTTGTCAACTTTTTTTTTGTTTTTCAGAATGCCAACAGTACAATCCATTCAATGCACTATACTTCTATTTCTCACAGCCTCATTTTCATTCCTGTCAAAAATTAAATATGGTGCTATCCTGAGTAAAGTCAATGGTGGTGGCAGAACACATACTTGGAAGATGGGAAAGGCAGCGGTGGGATCTCGTTGTTGATACCGTCACAGTATCGTTCCAGAAATGAGCGCAGGTGAGAGAAAGTGCTTTCTTCTAGGTCCACACAGTATGGCCTATGCCAGGCCACCACCTGCCTGTATACACACACATAAGATTAATAGCTTAGATATGGAAATGTCAAAAAATTCATTATAAGAAAGAAGAAAAAACAGAACAAGACAAAGGGAAAAAAAAAAAACTTCTTGCCATAGGAATCAACAAACTTAACAACACAAATGCATATTAAATATATTGTGTATTTATTTGCAACGTAAAGATCATAAAAGGGTTCAACAGACTTGCTAACCTGTCTCTTGGGAGGGCAGTCCATGCCAGGCTGTGGGAGGTGCCAGCAGAGATCTGCTGAATGGCCACTCCATCTAAACCAATCACCTTCTTGGGTTTGGTGATTGGGCCAGTGGAATTCCCTTGACCGCACTGACCCATGGAGTTATTCCCCCAGGCATACACTTCATTGTCTGTAACAAAAACATCCACACAGAAAAAAATGAAACGAAAGAGCAACTACTCATCATTACTGCATATAATTTTACGAGTCACATTTCAGCTTTATGCATTTTGAAAATCAGATGTGTGAGACTAGCATGGCCATTTCGCAATGCACGTGAACAGCACATGTTCAGTTTAAGTACACAGCGTCAAATTGTCTGTGACATCATGTGTGAGGCCCCTTTGCTTCATCTTATCTGAGTCTGACTCAGTACATACCCTTCTGCTACTAATCTGACCCCCTTCTCTCTCTCTCTCTCAACTATCACAAACTACAGTTCACACAACCCTTACAGTACAGCCCCAAGAAGACTCACAAACAAACAGCACCTAATCACCAGCCATTGTTTACGGAGTTTACAATAGAATTCTATAATGCTTTATGCAATACACTGAAAGTGAAAATATTAAAGTGAGAATCACAAAACTAACTGCACTGCATAGACCTTAGTCAGGTTAGGTGCCATACTGAATATAACACAGATGACAATGAAGCTGTGAGGGAGAGACTTAGTCTTTACATTGGCATTCACTGTACAAAGGTCTTAGATCATGTAATTTTCACAATTTTTTAAAACTGTTTTATGAAATTTTTGTCTACTGAAGGTTTTTTATGAAAGCCATTTTGCCAGATGAACAATTGGTATGCTGTTAAACAATAGCACAATCTATTGAAAGCACTGTACTTCCAACCCTTACAGCCTCATTTTCATGTTGTTGCACTACCAACCACTTAAGTAGGGATGTAACGGTATGAACATTTCTTATCTCGATTATAGTGACCAAAATGATCACGGTTATCAGTTATTATCACGGTATTGTTAAAATGTGCTGGAAAAGTACTGACACACAAATCATTTCACCAAGTTTTACATTTAAAATCAACAAACAACAAATAAAATGAGTAGGCTCTACACTCGAAGCGCTGCGCAGCTCAAACGAGTCGCGCGGTTTAGTTATGCTTTCAGTTTCGTTTGAGGTTTCTCACATGCAACAGAAATGCAGCGCTTATGAGTTAAACAATGCGGTGGTCGCGCCAGTGCGACCGCACACAAAATTTAGTCGCACCGGCAGAAAAAAATATCACAAAATGCGCCCATTTGGTCGCACACTGGAGCCCTGTGCAGTACAGTATTTATTTATCCTCAGTTGTTCAAATCGCGGTAATCGAATATGGTTATAGTGATCATTAAAATATGAAATGGTAATACTAACCGTGGGGTATTTTATCACGATTTATCGTCAAACCGGTAATCGTTACATCCCTACACTTAAGCATACCAGATAGACCCATAGATTTGTGTCCTCAATTCAGTGGTTTGCAGTGATCCCTTACCATGTGATAAAGCAAGGCAGTGGCTGTCTCCTATGGAGATGTCTACCACTCTGGTTGTGGCAAGTTCCTCAATCAGTTTTGGCCTTAGCGCAGTGGCCTCCGATGAACCACAGCCAAGACAAGCACCACAGCCCCAAGCGTAAACCTGCACAATGAATACATAGATAACAGTGTGTTTATAATGAATATACACACCACACTGAGACATTAGAATCAACATGAACTCATAATTGCCCTTATTTTTGAAATCTATCATCAAAACGTAATAAATAGTGGCTTAGCAATGTCTCATACCTGACCAGTAGAGGTGAGGGCAAGAGATGACTGGCTGCCAGCACAAACTTTGCGTATGAACATTCCCTGGAGCGCCTCCACCACTTTGGGTTTATACACACGATTGGTATCACCATGACCCAGTTTCCCTGCAGATAAACAACAGTGAAGGTGTAATAGTCTTCCATTAATCTTTATTATCACATATACACAGCAACTTCACAAACAATAATTACTAGATGTGTACAAAGTAGAGAAGATAACTCAAGCACATCTAGATGCAGCTGCTGGCAAAGTGTATAGTGCGTGCCTGACACCACAAATACAGTAGGACCCTTTCAAAAGTCTCTTCAGAAGAACAAGTGACGTAGGTTAACTTAACTCACCATTGTCTCCACCTCCAAAGGACCAGACCGTACGTCCATCTTTAGACAGCGCAATGGTGTGGGAGCTTCCACAGGACACCTCACCCACATTACTGATGTCTTTCACTAGCGTGGGAATGTTCCTACTGTTACTGTCGCCATGACCTACAAGTGTAGACAAACAAAATCAATGATACATAAATACAAATGTCAACACAAAATGAAGCAAGATAAAATGTTATGTGCATTAGTTAACAAACATATGTATTTTTATCACAACAACTCTGAAAAGTTTTAGCATGTTGATGGATATGACAATGTTAATGTAAATGGTCCTGGCACTCTAGGTCTTCTACGCTCACTGCTGGAGCAGAGCAAGTATGGACTTGCTCTTGCCAATCTGTTGACATACTGCTGTGAGCATATAAGATATGCTGCTGCATAAATAGGCATACAAAATCCCTTAGCAGATCTAGACAGGTTGAGCTGGGGGAGGTGGAGGGTTTTTATAGGAATTCTGATAGCACGCTGCAGAACCAGCTTACAGTGAACACTGAACCAGACTATTTCAAGCAAGCTAATTGGCTGCCAGCTTGAGGTCAATCAATTTGTGCCACGAAATAAATGATGTGATTGCTAAAGATGTATTTAGACATATAAAACATATTTTTCTGCATTTATTTGATAAAAAATGCAGTAAAAGGAATAATATTGTAATATTTTTTACTATCTAAAATAACCGTTTAGTATTTTAAAATATTTTAAAATGTATTTTATTCCTGTGATGGCAAAGCTGAATTTTCAGCAGCCATTAACTTTTTTTTTAATGAATGTGTGCAATAAATATAATATATAGACAATTATATACCTAATCTACCAAAGTCACCCTCTCCCCAGGTGTAGAGCTCTCCATCCTCACTGACTGCAGCGCTGTGTCTATACCCTGCTGAAACACAAACCACCACCTACAAGCAAACACACAAGCAACAGAAGACATTAATCATTTAAAAACACAGGTACATTCTGAGAGTTCAAAAAGATTAAGTGATGCATAACTACTGCATGAATTTAGTACCTTTCCTTGTAGAGGGCCCTGTATTAGTTTGGGGTATTTCTGGGTAGAGCTGTTGCCATGACCCAGTTTGCCATAGTCTCCATCACCCCAGCTGAACACCTCTCCCTCGCTAGTGAAGGCTAATGTGTGGCCGTCTGAGCCTTTGGATGATGAAACTTTCTTAATGGCACGGTGAGGTTCAAAGGTCAGCTTCTTAAGAGTGGACTGGTTGTTTGAGTCACCCAGTCCCAGGCGCCCATAGCTGCCCTTCCCACACGCTCGGACTGAACCATCAGAGGAGATGACAAATGTGCAGTACTGGCCAGCTTCAATCTGAAGACACGAGATGT